AAAATACGAAAACAGTAGATAAACATAATCATTACTATCATTTCCTGCATACAAATTTTGCTAGCTTTGGGAAAATGTTTCAAGGAATATTTTCAAGACCAGTGTTTACAATGATCACAATAGTTTTTAAGTCTTTAACTGCAGTAGAGAGCACATTTACCTGGAATGCTTTCTTTGAAAGCTTCACAATGATTTCCAAATATACCACGGCCTTTTAATGAGGGGAAAAAGTTATATTCATTAACATTCTTTTCATATGTAGGGGAATCCTAGGCCTGGACAATAAAACAGAAGTTCTGAGAAAACATTTTATGATGGCCACTGTACGAAGGTAATTGAAAGACCTGTTTTTTCAGGTTCTATTTCCTGAAGGTAATAACAATCCAAATTGACAAGGACTAGACTATCTTCTGTACCCATCTGGACAGGGAAAAAATCAGATTTTTAACATTTCACAGTCTCACAGTGTTCTTTAGTTAGAATGCAAAAGCCCACTCATTCTAGGGCTAGTGGTTTCCCAGTCTCCCAGACCAGACAGCCTAGCACCGGCTGACGTGGCAGCCCCACAGGGGTTGGAAATGACTGTACCACTAGGGATATGCTTCGGCACCACTTCCTCATGAGATTCCTCAAGAATCTCCTTCTCACTCCCAGATGAGTCCTTTCCCCAAGCATCTAATTTATGCATCCATTCAACTAATATTTATCAAGTATCTATCATATGATGGGGCTGCTTTTGATATTGGAGACACAGCAATGAGTAAGACAATACTGCGTCCTCCGGGAGCTAATACATATGTATCTACATATAGGAGAATACAAATCACACACACACACATGAAAAGTACATAAAGTATATCATTGATGGATACAGATTCATACTTCAAAGAAAATTATACAGGATAATCGGATAAAGTGGGAAAGGAAAGACCATCTCTGTTTGCTGGGAGTTGGCCTGGCACTCACAGCTAGGCCACAGTGTTCTCTGGTCAAATGTAACAATTTTATGGCACATCAACATGAGATAAGGTCACTCTATGACAGTCATGGAGTAAACAAACAAACAAACTACTTTGTAATAGTGTCTAAGCACAGACAAAACCAAGTACACTGTGCAAACCACTACAGTGACCAATGGCCCCTCTCCCAGCTGACAGGAAAGAATGCTGATTTTTCACCAGCTGCATTAGCCTCACTTCGCTCCTCCTGCCTCCAAGATACAGTTCATTAAGATACTCATTACCATGAAAGTTCTGGGGAGCAAGGAAAGGATTTCAAGGGAGAAAAGCCACAACAGACTCGTGTATTTTGAATGAGTCCTCTGGCAGATGTGAGGAGGACAACTTGAAGGGGGTCCAGATGGAATCAGAAAGACTGCAAAGGAGAATATGAGGAATATAAGGGATATTAGGAATCAGAGTCATCAGAACTTGCTGTCTGGGTATGAAGGCAGTGAAAGAGAGGCGTATGTCTCCCAGGTTTCAAGCTTGGGCAATTATTGATACAGGGTTCAGGGGTTGCCAATTACTGAAATGGGGAAGATAGGAGAAACAGGTTTAGGAAAAAAGATACTGAGTTGAGTTTTGAACATACTGAGTTTGAGGAAGACATCCAGTAACCAACCATTTGGATAAATGGATGTGGAAATCAGCAGAATCTGGCTTAGAGGCCCCTCTTGTATCCAAGTCTATGTTACTACTTACTGACTATTCTTAGCCTCTGCTTAGGCAACTGCTCAAAGTTCATATTAAGTAGACTTTATCAACTAAATTGTCTATAAAGTCTTGCTTTCTTCCAATATGTTCTGTAAAATGTAGGCTGTCTATTACACTTGTTGCTTCAGTGATTTTCTCCTCTTTCCAAAGTGCTTTTTTGCTTATCTTGAGTTTTGGGCTTTATTCAGGGTTCTCCCTATGGGCCACATGCTTATACATCAGAGAAATAGGGAAGGTTTTGTTCTGTGCCCTCTAGCAGAGAGAGTAACTTCTGTTTGGAGTCTGAGCTCAAAAGATTTAAAGGCTCTAGCAATGAAGAAATAGAAATTAATAGAAAATTATGGTTGTAGTCTGCAGAAGGTAAAATACACTGGGTTGATACATGTGGTAAGAAAAGAGGTACTAATAAATAAAGTGGATATATTATGCTTTATTTAGAAGGTTAAGTTGTGCTGAACTTTTTTTCTGCTACATTTTAACGTTCCTTAAATGGGCCACAATTTTTCTGCCAATATCTCTTTCTCCATCTGGAGCAATTTCCTTCCTTCAATTAGCTAACCTCTACCTGTTCTTCTATAACTCAGTTCAAACATTCTCTGGAACAAGAAGCCCAATAAAATTTGGAGAGATGGCTGTTCTTTGTACTATTAATAGGACTTAATTCTAGTCCATTTAAATATTGATTCATTTTAGTTCCCCCACATCTTAGCTCTTTAAAGGCAATGCATGACATCTAAATCTGCATCTCCAAAGTTTAGCACAATAAAAACCTAATAAATATCTGTTGAATTAATAAATCCACAAGGCTTATACTAGAATCCCTTCAAAATAATTCAGGTGGCATTCTTTACGGGTACTCCGGACTTGGAGAAGTGTTTCAAAGGGGAAATAAAACATGCCCATGGATAAGAAACACGGGAGAAAAGATGTAATATTTTGAGTTTGTGTGTGTGAAGAAAGCGAGACAAGAGGGAAAAATGCCTCTCAAATATGACATAAAGTGACTTGATTAAGTGTCTTGAATAAGGTGACTACTGTAAGTCACAATCAATGTATTGGGGGCAGGTGAGAAAGGACACAAACAGATTGAATTTTTTGGATAGTGAAACAATGACCTTTCTGTTGACTGGCGTTTAACTACAGTCTTGCACAAAAGTTGCTCCCAGACAAACTGTCCAAGAAAACCAAAGAAAACTATCACAACACAACAGCGAGTGGGTAAGTTTTTCTGCACGCTTTCAAAATTGCCTCTGTCCTCTCCTGTTTTTGGTAAATCAAACCCACCGTTGCCCAAATCAGACAAAAGATCTTAAAACACTAAACAAAACAAAACAAAACAAAAAAATCCCCAAACCAAAACCAAACCCTGCCTTGAAATGCAAAGACGAGTCCCTTCCTGGGACGCGGCGGGGAACCCGACTCCGGGGGGTTTCCGATGGCGCCAAGGCTGAGCAGAAGACCCTAGCCCTGGCGAGTTTCAGGAGCAGAGCCGTCGAGGCCTCCAGCTGGCGCTCGGGGGGGAACGGCATTCCCAGAGTGGGGCCAAGGAGAAAGGGAAGGGC